TTACGAGAGGTAGCTGTGTGAGTAAAGCTTGAAAACCCCCCTCCTCGCGACCCATTTGAATATATTTTGAATTTAGAAGCAAACCTTCACTCATTACTGTCATTTCCATGGACCCTCGCCCCACAAATTATTTGCGACAAAATATTGTTTTCTCATATCCGGAGATGATACGAGTTTCTTTTTCTTTATTTCTTTCTCTTTCGGTTTTTTATTTTACGTTATTATTAATTTTTATAAAAACTATTTTATTATTATTATTATTATTTATTTTCATGAAAATTATTGTTATTTTTTCATGTTCCGGGATGTTCCGGAATGTTCCGGCATGTTCCGGAATGTTCCATGTTCCTGGTTTTATCGACGCCCCCATGGAAATGACAGTAGTGAGTGAGGGTTTGCTTCTAAATTCAAAATATATTCAAATGGGTCGCGAGGAGGAGGGTTTTCAAGCTTTACTCACACAGCTACTTCTTGTAAATGTTTGCCATGAGTTAATCATTTGGCGGTTAATTATAACCATTTACGGTTCTGCGATGGTCTGAAATGTCGGTGCACTGTATGTCATGTCAAGCCGAGTCGGTAATTAAGTTCCTAAAGTCCAAAGCGACGAGCCCCTAAGGGACCAGTCATAATTTAAGTTGGGGGGGGGGGAGGAGAAATTGGGGGGCCTTCAAAGCTTGAAAACCCCCCTCCTCGCGACTCATTTTAATATATTTTGAATTCAGAAGAAAGACTTCACTCATTACTGTCATTTGCATGGACCCTCACTCACCCAACAAATTACCCGTATTTGTGACAAAAATTGTTTTCTCATACTCGTAGATGAGTTTCTTTTTCTTAATCATTTCTTTATTTTTCGTTTTCTTTTTTCGTTATTTTATGTTATTTTGTTATTATTAATTTTTACAAAAACTATGTTATTATTATCATTTATTTAATCAATTTTTTTCATGAAAATTACTGTTATTTTTTCATGTTCCGGGATGTTCCGGGATGTTCCAGCGTAAGCTGTCTCTTGTGGCTTTTTTATTTTACGCACTGTCGGTAACTTTTTGGGCCATGTCGCTTGTCAGAATTTACCCGGGCAGGGCCTCTGCAGTATTAAAAAATTATTGAATGAGGCTGAGTATCATCTAAAGAATTATGGCCTTGGTGGATAACACCCCCGGAGATCTCCCTAATTCTTCAGATGATACGAAAGCCAAATTCAACAATTGTTTTATTATTCATTCAAAATAATTCCTTGTATAAAAACAAGCTAAAACATGCTTACCTCCATCGATGTTAAGTTCATTTTGGATATTGCATGTTTATTGGCAAGTTTAAGAGATAAAAGCAGGGGCGGATGCAGGAATTTTGATTGGGAGGGTCCAAAACTTTGGTTCAGAAAGGACTGTTGAACTTTGTTTGTTGCAACGTGTTCCTCAATCTCTCAATACTGGTCGAGGTTGGTGTGGGAAATACTACTTTGTGAACAGAGGAGAACAGATCATTTTTTAATATCCTTGGAATTTAGCTTAGTGGCAAAATGCAATGCGATTTTCATTAAAAAAATTAGCCAATTAAAAAGTGATATACGATCGGGGGGGGGGGACAAATGGCAGATGTCATCTGTCGAGTTGTCTTCTTGCCAATTAAGTTCACCAATTCACCAAGTGAAATGTTCATTGCCGTTTTGTTGTCCCAACCTAAACAACTCAACCTTGTCCCCAGGTCTTCCCGGTTAATAGTTCATGATCAATAATCTGGCAATTTTGCTGCACTTTTGATATAATTTTTTTACACATCACAAAATTCTTCCAATCTGGTCAACAATAGCTGGTTATTTAACAATTATTCCTCGAGCCCGAATGGGCTCTGAGTCAATAGCCCATGAGGCTGAAGGCCAAATGGGCTATTGACTCAGAGGCCATGAGGGCGAGACGGATAAACAGATAGATGATACCAGATAAATTATCCGCCCAAAACATAGACCAGTTTTCCCATCAAGACAGATTATCCATCTAAGAGTGTTGATTGACCAGATTCCAGAATAAGAATAAGGGCAATTCATGAACTCTAAAAATCACTCATTTTGGCATTCATTGCTTTGCAATAGAGAGGAGATGTGATGTCATGTTACCATGGTAGCAAAATTTCTGGATCAGAGTAAGAGAGCTTAAGCAACAACAACAGTGACGGCAAAGAGAGCGGCAAAAAAGCAATAGGTTTAGTTAACAAAACAACCGTGCATCACGTTTTTTTTTACATTTCTTAGCCGTCATTGCACGACTGCGACATGAAACGTCCTAATTCTATATGCTTGCTTCATTGAGTACGTGAACACAACACCAAAATATTTTTTTTCTTTTTTTAAACTTAGATATGGTCCTCTCAGATTTAACCCCAGAAAATTTCACCAACATTTGACACAAAATGAAATTGAATAAGATCAATGAAGTTTGAAACAATGTGAATTCACTTTTTCAGTGATGTTTTCAGTTTGTTGTCATCCAGAGCTTTTGCTACCATGGCAACAAGAGACCTCTCTATAGCTAAAAATCTTTATGAAATGAAGTATCCCGATGTATGTACATGTATAATTTTTAAGGGGCCTAAAAAATCACAGTACACGAAACTTGCAACAAAGCCTTTGCATATACATAATATAGATTATATCCATATTTTTCTGGAATACGCTTTTGAAATCAAATGCACCCAAAGAGGGATAATCCATCTCTAGTGTGAAAAAGGCCAATGTTACTAAAAAAATTTAATTATGCAACAGAAAATGACATCCTTTGAGAAAAGCACCAAAACAACTGTGAAGCTGAACGTTGGAGGTGTCTATTTCAAGACTTCTCTATTAAGAGGCAGTCTCCCTAAAAGCGGTCCACTCGATTTCGCGACAAAAAATACTTTTCCTTTATTTTTTGTCGGTGAAGAGGCTTTAGTAGGTATATACTAAAATCGCTATTTTTGTTTTCAAATTCATTTTCTTAACTCTGCTACAAGCCAAAAACGAATTGAGTCCGTCTCGCTTCTCAGAGAGTGTTTCAAAGACTAAAATTGAGGGATTTTGAAAAGCGCGTTGCAAACAAACGAATGACCGCACAAAAAATCTGTTCAATTCACTTTTTTTAGTTAACCTTCAATAGTTCATAGGCTACATAAAAATGTCTTTGATCAAAACGTATTCAAGTTACTGTGGTTCAAAGAATACCTATTTTGCAGGCTTAATCCAAACCCTGAAAGTAAGGAAGATTTGAGGTAAAATATCTCAAAAGTTGCGGCCTAAATCTGGTTTAATAATCATATCAAAGTAAAGTTTTAAGCTTATTTTTTTGGTTTATAGGCTCAGACTTGTGGGTATCTTCTGGGATTGCAACCAACAGTAGATTATAATCTGCCTTTTTGCGTATTTGCATAATTACTGGCCGTGTCAGATGTCATGATTGTACAGATTAAAAGTTCCATGAAATTGCCTCTTTTGACACTTGAATTCGTCTCCGGCCTCTAAAAGAAAGTAATTAAGCTTCTTTAAGTACTTTTGAATCGAAAGACATATCGTAACCGGGATTATAATGCATGTTACTGATTACCACGATCAACTGGCGAGCGCCGTCGTCTTGTAACTACCTGCACTGAACAGTAAACAATGTTTTTAATAGAATTCTCTAGATCAGAAGTTGATCCTAGCTCTCTAAGTAATGAAAATAAATATCACTTCCCCGGGATACAAAACATGTACAAGAAAGGCAACGTAGAATTTTAAGTTCTTTCCGCAATTTCAGAGTGAATTTCACCGCGGTGCATAAATTATTGTAAAAATCAGGCTGTTTAAAAACGTTTGACGCACAACAAAAACAATTAGTCATTTACCGTTTTATCTGTTATCGGTAAATAAGACGCTTACCTCTGCTTTAGATTCTTGATGGAAGAAGTCTATCCAGCGAGCTAAAGTAATGCAGTTTCGTTAATTTTCAAAATCAAATCATATCGTGATTTGTCACGTAATGTTATGGTCACGTGGCTACGTAACCCAGTCGACGGCCAAAATCTTTGTGATAAACGAAATTTCTGTTTCTCTCCAGAAAAAAAAAAAAAAGCCCTCATTGAATGATTTTTCCTCCTTAAATTGCACAAAATAGACCGATTGCAAATATGGCGACGATTTCACCAAAGCGAGGCTTATCGGTAGCAACCGTTGCTAAGGGCTGGTTGCTGTGTTTACCCGTGCCGTTGCTGGAAAGACTGCAGCTTCTCAGACGTCTTTTCCTTTAATTTCGACAAAAATAAGTCAATTTTCTTCGCTGAAAGGTTTCAATCTGGTATACACGCTTTGGATACTGTTTTCCTATGCTAAATTGTACGATCAACTGACGCACAGCGATCACAGACAGAGTCATTTGTAGCGATCGCGATACTTTGACTGCCTGATATTTTTCATTCATTGTATTAAAGGTTCACATGTAATTATCATTCTAAAAGCTGATCTTCAATTTTTAGAATTTGATTGCATGCCATTTTTGCTGTACATTTATAAATAGTACCATGCCGGATAGTTGTTGCGTGCCTTTGTGCTGCAAGAGTGGTTATCGTGTAGGGCCGGATGGGAAAAAGATCATGTATCATTGCCTTCCATCGGATGCTGTAAGACTGAAGGTACTACTTTCAATATTATCGTTCATTAAACCTATCGTTTCAGATTTCTGATATTTCTCGATACGACATATATTTCAGGAGTGGCTTGTAAAAATTCGACGAGAGGTATCTCCAGCATTTCAGATAACTGAACGAACCAAAATCTGCTCCTTGCATTTCAAGATAACTGATTTCGTGTAACCTTGACTGGTCGTCGATATTTAAAGGACGATACTATTCCCTCTATCTTTTCATGGTCGGCTGCATCCCCTAAGCGAAAATCACCACGTAAGAGGTCACCGAGCGATTCCGTAGCTCATGATCAGAAGCCATCCTGCAGTAGCAAAAATGACCGCAACTCGGAAAGTGATGTGGATCAAATCAGCCAGTTACGTACGCACATTGCTCAACTTGAACAAGAAAAGAATATGCTCCAACTTCACAATAAACATCTTTCGAAAACTGTCGATGAACTTCTCGCAAACCAGTTTGGAATAACAAAATTTATGGGTGAAGACTCGGACATCAACTTTTACACCGGCTTCCCAAATTATCAAACACTACTGGCTTGCTACAATTTCTTAAATCCGGGGGAAAATGGTGAGAACATTGTTTACATCACTAGTGCGAACGACGAGTTAGAGTTTCCGGCGTTTCCAACCAATGAGATTAACCGGGAAACAAACCCGGCAGACGTCGGAAACTAAGTACTCTGGACGAGTTTTTTATCGTCCTTATCAGAATGAGGCTTGGATTATTACTTCGGCGGAGCGCGAAGTAAAGGATTCGCGACGCTCAGGAATGTATCAAAGTTGCAATTTTTTGACAAGGTTGGGCAAGCAAAGTCTGTAGGTTTTCGGTTCTATCCGGCTATTTGACGAAGTGAGAGCCGAATTAGTTCGAGATATCTCGACATCACTTCAATTTCTTTGATTTGTTCTTTAACTTTTTTGAGGAAGAAAGGATTATTATTTTGGCTTTCCCGGGGTTTGAACCGACTCACCTGTGTGACCCGTCGGATCAGAGGAGACTCTAAGTTGGGGGATTAGCCGATTGCGCTACTGCGACCCAAGGTAGAAATGATGCACTAGTTTCGGGACAAGATTGGGCGTGCAAGTTCGTGACTTTTCGGCTTGTTTCAACTATTTCACGAAATGAGACCGGATTAATTCGTGATATCTTGAGATCACTTCGAGTTTAGTCTTTAATTACTCGAGGAATAAATAGAGGATATTTCGTGGCCGCGCAGGCGCGAAATTTCTCTTCGAGTGATGAAAAACATTTCACGAGTGAGCCCTCCTTTCGAACTGTTTTATGATGAATTTAAAGTTACATATGCTGCACAAAGACATTTTGTCTTTGTTGAGAGTTACGTGGTAAAATTGCTCTCATGCGTTGCGTGACTTTCTCGAATGTTCTCTACGTTTTTGGATTACCATGAATAATTAATTAGGGCCTGTTTACATTTCAGCATGAGTCAGCAGATTTGCATCAGTTACTGAAATCATAAAATATGTCGAAAAGCTACAACTATTCGCCTGTTTAGTATTTTCTAGAACCTTATGTCAAACGGTATACAAGTTCCAAGTGAGTTCTTTTGACGAACGAAGTTTTTTTCCCACGAGCTGGACTGCTGTGTTTAGTCAAGTGTGACGAAGGTCGAGTTTACAAGTTCGCGGAAGCCGTAAGATATCTGAAGTTCAAGTGAGGGTTTGATATTATTGGTAGAGGCTGTTTAGTTTTACTCAAAGTTCAAGTCAAGTTTGAGTTGGTGGATGCTGTGTTTTAAAGCTCTGTAAAGGCTATGTTCCCTTTGGTGTTAAACTTCCTTGTGTTAATCCGACATCCCTGCGTGCTGATAGTCAGTGAATAATTATCCTCAAAACATTCGAACTGGTGACTTTGAGTTTTAGCCAATTCCATGCTCAACGTAATTGATTCCTTAGCCATGCGTTACATATCTTTAATCAGTACATGAGACCGCTATGCTGTTTTTGAAGCCTGATGTGACTAAGAAAAATAGAGAATTGTTTTTTTTAGAAGGATTTGTATGGAGTCATCAGAGCATAACTGGGTTAATTTCTCGGAGACAATTTGTCACGAAATGCTAGTTTTTGGCAAGTAGGCCTCTTGGATGTTGCTCTTTTCAGAATATCCTGACAAATCCCATAATTTCACAAATTAACACCTTACTCTTACCATATTTGATTTCTTACTATTCCTCCGAATTAACAATTAATTAGTTCCACAACCACGACGCCGAAGTGTACGCTCCGTATCGTCTTGTTTGAACTTGATTTGGCCCATAGGTTCAGGGTACATGTATCTACAATTAACAGAATTTGCATATCCTGGATGAATTTTCTGTACTTAAAATTCGGTCACCTCAACATTTGGCCAGACAGAGAGACAATAGATAAAGCAATGCCCCAGTCTTTCAAGGATAAGTACCCCAAAACAAGGGTTATTATTGATGGGACAGAAATCAAATGTCAAACCCCTTCCTCTTTGGCTCTGCATAGTGAAACTTTCTCTACGTACAAGAGTCATACGACATTTAAAGGTTTGATTGGCATTGCACCGAGTGGCCATATAACATTCATTTCGCAACTTTATGCTTGGAGTATTTCAGATAGAGAGTTAACTGTCAGGTCGGGGCTACTCAGCTTACCTTTTTCCCGTGGTGATGTAGTAATGGCTGACAAAGGCTTCACCATTTCAGATCTTCTGGAGCCCATTGGTGTTGGCTTGAATATCCCCCCATTTCTTGGTTTAAGAAGTCAGCAGACCCCTTCAGAAGTTATTGCGACTCAGGAAATTGCGTCCGAGCGTATTCACGTGGAAAGAGAGATAAACAAAGTAAAGAATTTCCAAATTTTTAATCAAGTCATTCCACTGTCGTTAGCTGGTAGTCTAAATCAAATGTGGACTGTTTGAGCTGTGCTGACAAACATGCAAAATTTCATAGCATGTATTGTAAAGAGGTGTACAAGTACAAGTACACTAATGAAAACTCAAGTTGAGTTATTGTCTAGGGGAGAACGTACACAGGAATACTTGCTATTAAACGGTTTAAGTTTAGTATACAAAATATTGTTTGCAAATATTTCGCTGCATTTAAACAGTTCAGATCAAGATTCTTGTCAAAAATTAAGTCGACCTATTATTTAGCACGTGCTGATACTGCCTGTAGCTGTTGTAGTAGCAGTTAAAACGGTGCACGCTGTTGTTACAGCACATGCTCCAGCTGGCACTGCTTGTGCCTTGAAATATGCAGCATAGTGCTTAAAGAAAAATTGTTCCAATTTCAACAGCATAGAAGCAAAAAATTCAGAGTCAAAATAAATACGTTCAATGACCATCCCCTTGAATGTATAAGTGACAAAGTCACACCACTTAGCCCCTGTAATTCCCATTTGCCCCTGAACCTGATAATAATATTTGTGCGTCGTCTTAAGCGATGGAAAGTCATCCTTTTTTTCAAGATGAAATTGACTGTCACCGGCACATGCTGTCTCAGGAGTGACATTCCTGTGTTTGTACGGACATTTAATTTCAACGATCCCGTATGGGCGATTCTCTGTTACGTCAATAACCTTCCCATCAGGTGAGCAACCGAGGAAGGGGAAGGCAGGGTTTACAACAAAGCCTGATGGAAAGGTCTTTACGGGATGTCCACTGTTTACAAGGTAGTTCTCATACTGTTTCAGGGCCCTGCTTTCATTTTCAATGCCATGCTTTAGGGGAGCTGGTACATTTCTTGAGTCGACAGGCGCATTTTGATCGCTAACAAGGCCTTTCAGAAACGGGCTGGTAATCGATTTTCGACTTAAAATTTCTCCAAATGTCGACGCTGCCAATCTTGGTTTCCTTTCAGTCCACCAGCGGCTACTGTTTCGTTGTGACTGTGTCGCCCTTTCAAGATCTGTAGCATTCTCATAAAATTGATTATGTTCTGAAGAGCACTGAGTGACGATGAACAAGGGGGAAACCAAAGATAACGGGAAAGAAGGGTAAATTGTTCTAGGGACATCTTCACTGCTAGCCGGTTGCTTAGATAAGTCTACATTACACGTCACTTTAAAGTTCCCTTCAGTGGGTGCCATTTGATAACTGAGATACCCTCCCAAGGGTGCAAGACCAGCCCTGGTAGGTACCTTCTCACTTCCAGCATTCATGTACAAACTGAGGCCAAAGTTCTTGTTGACCTTCTTTAAATCATCCTTAAAGCTCTCAATCTCTGCATTAGTTGGGGCTGCCTTGATTGCAGGATACAGTGAACAAGTAATACCAGGGGATACAGAAACTGAGGTACTCTCACCTGTACATGTCGTGCCTAACCTAGGTTTTTTGAAAATTATTTCCGTCAAAGGCTCCGATGATATATTTTTCCCTCTAGGCCTATGCCACTGCTGTGGAAGGGAGGTGCAAACCAAGTCATCGGGGATCATTTTAGCTTTTGTCATGGAATAGTGGGAAACTAGATACATTAGGCCTACGGCATGATTACAAAACCCCAAAGATCCAGCGACACAGGTGCAGGATGAAGCAAGTACATCGTAAGGTTGCTCTGTTGAGATCGCTAATCTTATTTTATGTGGGGGTTCACTTTTCCGTAGACTTCGGTAGCAAATTAAAGGGCTCTGAAATAAAAGGTTTTGCTCCCTTTGTGATTCTTGGCCCCGACGTTATGAAGGTATCCTTCAATAAAAAAATTGACACCACGTTCAAAAGGCTTCATTACCATGTAGTCCGGGGAATGCTGAATGTTTTTACCGGAGTTTCGGACATATTTCACAATGGTATTATACGTGAATGGAGGAAGATCGTCCAGTAGTTGATCCATATTCTTCTCAGAGGGACAAAATCTAAACTTTTCCTCATTCTCCCTAACAAGATCTGAGTCGCTCTTTTTGCTTCGAGCACGAAGTGCAGCGGCGGTCGCTTGATTATTTTGATCATTTTGCCCGCGATCATCTGTACACATTTGAAGTACTTCCTTCACTCTGCACAAAAAAATCAACAAGGGACGCTAATTTTAAACTTGCAATCACTTAGACAGAAAAAATAATGAGACAAAAGACAAAGGTACATTTAATGGTTTTCAAGTCAGTGTCAAGTGTATTTAATCATATAAAACACAGGGTTAAAAACGCTGCCGGCTTACTTTGCAACAAGTTGGGCCTTCACTGTTAATCCTTTCAGGCTCACTTTCTTCCTTACAAGAATTTCTTTTAATTCCTTCACATGCATCTTTTCCACAGGCCTATCCAT